AACAGTAGGGACTATCAATGTATATCCCGTATGCAATTCTAATAAAATTTCTTCGGCAATGTAAGCCGCCTTAATAATAAAAAAAAAAAAAAAAATAAAATTTATTAATAATTTTTATTAATATTTGAACTACTTATCAGTATAATATTATAAATTTTTAATTTAAGCTTGAATCAGTATCGAATTTAAAACTTTACCTTTTCAAAACCTCCAGAGCTGATTTTCGTAGGATCTTTAATTTTATAATATTAGTTTATATTAATAAACTTGAATCATTATCGAATTTAAGAATTTACCTTCTTAAAACCTCCAGAACTAGTCTTTGTAATTTTATAATATTTATCAATAAGTAGTTCAGATACATTAATAATTTTTAATTTAAGCTTAAATAGTATCGAATTTAAGAGTTTATCCTTACAAAACCTCTGGAACCAATCTTCGTTGGATCTATAAATTTTATAATGTTATACTGGTAAGTAGTTCAAATATATTGATAATTTAAAGTTAAATCAGTATCGAATTTAAGAAATTACCCTTCCAATCTGCCAATCTTTTGCAGGACCTATAAATTTATAATATTCCATTTGTAAACAGTTCAAGTATTAATAAAATCATAACCTTTAATCAGTATCAAATATATGAATACCTTTCCAAAACCTCTGAAGCCAATTTTTGTAGAACTGTAAATTTATAATATTATATCGGTAATACACTAATAGTTTTTAATTTGAGTTTGAATCAGTATCGAATTTAAGAATTTACCTTTCCAAAACCTCCGGAACCGATCTTCGTAGAACCTAAATTTTATAGTTATTCTGATTAATTTAAATATATTAATAAACTTGAATCAGTATCGAACTTTAAAAATTTACCTAATCAAAACCTCTGGAACCAATCTTCGCAGAATCTGTAAATTTTATGTTATACTGGTAAGTAGTTCAAATACATTAAGAGTTTTGATTTAAACTTAAATTAGTATCAAAAAAATTATCCTTACAAAACCTAGAGCCAATCTTTGCGGAATCTACAAATTTGTAACATTATATTGGTAAATAGTTCAAATATAAAATCATTAATAATTTTTAATAACTTGAAATAGTATCAATTAAAGTTACCTTTTCAAAACTTCTGGAACTAATCTCTGTAGAATTTGTAAGTTTATCATGTTATACTGATAAATAGTTTAAAATACATTAATAACTTTCATTTAAGCTTGAATCAGTATAGAATTTAAGAATTTACCTTTCCAAAATCTACGGAGCGATCTCTGTAGGTCTATAATTTACGATGGTAATAGTTCAAATATGCCTATTTAAAGGAATTTCTTAAGCCATTTTGCTAGTATTTCTGCAATGACTTACTTAACAATCCATATGTATCCATATAAGTTTTCTCATGAACTATTTTAGCTGATCATCAGATATCTGACATTTCCAGTTTTACCAAGAGTATGAATCAAGATTTCTTCTGTAAATTATGGTTAATAAACGAAGTGTATGACATATTTTTTTATGGCTTTTCCACAACTGCTTCGAATAGATCAGTATCACTGCTGATTGAGTTATCAGAAATTCACTGAGATAATAACCACGATAATTACTAGTTCGTAATATATATTTGTTTTTTATGATAGCACTATAGAGAATAAAAATATATATATTAATTGTGTAGAATAATAAAAGCATAAAAGAATTTTATTTCTATACTTCAATATCAGAATTAGGTGTCGAGATAAAGGTTGCTCAACAAATATAATATCATATAGTGAAAAGATTAAATAAATGTAATCACCCTGGGCAATTGGGATTATTGATATTTACAAGATCAACGTCTATAAAGATCTAACACTAATGCCATTGGTGTTAGCATGCTTTAGGGTTTTCGTATTTCAAACAATCTAAGAAAAAAATAAAAAGTTAAATCGAAGTAATAATGATAAAATGCACATTAAAAACTTACAAAAAATGCATTAAATCCTTATTAATTTGAATTCAAGATTAAACCGATAATACATATAAATATTCACTTAGGTTATTATTTTATAATTTGATTTATTGGTTCGAATAGAAAATAAAGTAATACTTCAAGTTTTTGAATAAATCACAAAAGAGAATTGAAGTATTAAAAAAATCCTTCATATAGAAATTTGTGCAAAAATGATAAATCCAATTATTGTTAAGTAGTCGAAGAGTAAATCTGAACTTTAAAAAAATTTTAAAATAATTAATAGATCAATTAATAGTAACTTTTTATTAAAAATTAATTATTACCTTTATATTATTCAGAATCGAGTCTATATTTTTTAGATTTTTTAAAAAAATTTGGAGTTTCATTAATAGTAAAGTAAAGTTGTCGATTCTCGTGCTCCAAAATTTCTAAAATTGCAAATCGCCGTGAATTTTCATGACCTCCATCTTTTAATGTATTTTGAAAATACCGGCAAACTTGTAAATGATTTTTTTTTTCGATAGCGGAACATGAGAATGCAGCTAGTCCAAAATCATTATGAATATCTAAAAACTCAGGTACATGATTTACCAATACGTGGATATAAGGTGTAACATCCTGTATATGATACATTCCCCGAATAAAATTGCTTTTATTAGGTTCACCTTGAGATGGTGCTAAGAAAGATGTTAACCAATTTTGTGCCTTTTCACGAAATACTCTTCCTGTAGTGTTTTTATTTTGCATTAGATTGTACAATTCATAAAATTGACTCCAAAGATTTTGAACTTGTATTGCTCGAGTAGTTGATTAAAAAATTGCTATAAGATTAAAATTTTGTAAAATTTTTAACTTGTCGGGACCCATAAGCGAAGTATATGATAAATTGTTGCCACTTTTTTCATTCCAAAATTGAAATACTACTTTAAGTCGTTTCATTTCATCTAAAATTTTTGCTTGCCAAATCATTTCCTCAACTTGTTCTCGACCAAGATCAGATAACATTAACTCCCATAAACGATCGGTTATTCTTAAAAAAATATGTAACTCGTCACAAACCCAGTTGTAAATAGGTATCATATAAAATAAAGGTTCATTTAAATGACCATTCATTTTAGAATAATTAATTTTAACTATTTCCATAGATTTAGTAATTTGCTTATTCGTATCACTAATATTTGCTTTAGTACAATCACACCACAGACAAAAATGTTTAGCATTAGCAGCTTTCATTCCAAGACATGTAGCTAAAAATTTCCAATCTGAGCTAAAGTACAATTTAACTGGCCATTGATTACCATTAAGTTGCCAAAAACCCTTTTCTTGTAATATTTGAAGGTCTAAAATTAATGGAGCAAGTGCATTTTTTAAAGATTCATAGGTTTCAGAACTCGAATATAAAATAAGAGTATGATGATTGTCTGGTTTTTGTAATCCTGTTAAATCATTTAACAATATCATAGTTACCATTACGTGCTTTACTTTTCGTCCAACATTCCTTCCATCTCCGGAAATCCGAATATGTAAAGTTGATACATTAGGAATTAAAATATTTTTTTTGATATAAAAAGGTATGATATAATTTAAAATATCTGTAATACGTTGCTGTTCTCCTTTTCCAATTGATTCTAACATATTTGTAACAATATCCTTATCAATAATATCTAGTGTATCTTCAATTTCCTCAAAAACTATTGGTTGCAAAATATCTACGAGTGAAAGTGGAATTTGCTTTTTCATTTTTAAATTTATTTTTTGCTTTATATCAGATATAGCACCCTCACGTGGAATTTCATGCTCAATTCGTGCTAATGATCGATAAGCATCTCTTGTTATTCGTCCACAATCCAATAATTTTACAATTGCTTCTTTTCGTTCATTTTCACTTCTTTGATCATATTTTCCAAAACTAATATCAAACTGTTCATCTCCGATTTCAAACTGAATTCGTTTAATTTTTATATTGTCATTAGAACAAAAAATTTTTTTTTTTTCTTCTTTAACTGTATTTAAAACTTGATGTACTATTTTTAATACTTTACACCATTTTGTTGAATTACTAAGATCTTTAAAAGGATGAATTTTTGGATTACAATCAAGTGATAAAGTTTGGCGTATATTTTTAACACTAAGTAATGTTAAACCAAACAATAAAGGTCCAGAGATCTTTGAAATTTTATTATTTCTATTAGTTGTTTTTGTATTTGTTTGCGCTTTTATTTTATTTAGCTTCTGTTTTATATTAAATAAAAAAAATTTTATAATAAATATATAATTAAAATACTATAAAAATTAATAAAAAAAAACATATACCTTATAATATTGATATGCTGCATCAGTTGCAGATTTAAAAGATTGAACTTTTGATATAAAATTTAATCCAAACTGAATAGTAAACTGTGGCTTTTTATTTTTGTATTGTATAGAACATTTTGTAAGATGTTTTGCTTTACCATGTTGAGTTTTAACGATATAATTATTAGAAATTGGATGTTTAGAGTATTTTGTATAATAAAATTGATTAGAAAGTGGATTTGTTCCTTCTTTAATAATATTATAATAAAATGTTCTATTTTTATCAAAAAGTTTAATAAATGGACTTTGAGGATAATTGCTTTCTTCTTTCATAATTACTTATATCTTTAATATGCTAAAGTTAATTTACAAAACAAATTAAAGTTTTCTGTTTTAATACTTAAAGTGGTGGATACGAATTACTGTACTATAAAATTTTTTAATTGGTTAATGATTTTCAAATTTTTACGTGTCCTTAATTCAGACTGATTCAGAAATAACAAACTAATTTGGGGGTCTTATTTCAATTTTAGGGTTTGAATCAAACACGCCAATATGTTAGATATAGATGTCTAGATAATTATTCAATTCTGTTGACAATAGGATTTGAACTCTAGACCTCTTACATTGCAGTCTGACAATCTAACTACTACACTAAGATCACTAGACCTTTTTACTAATAAAATATAATTAATAGAATTTAAATAATAAAATTTAACTACTAAAAATTCATATTATAATACTATTCCTTTCTTGAAAAATATTGCTCTGCAAAATTAAAATTAATGATAATAATAAATAAAAATAAAAATAAAATAAATAAATAAAAAAATAAAAAATAAAAATAATTTTAACGAAAATAAAAATTAAAGTAAAAATAAAATTAGAATAAAATATTTCTAAAACAATATATATATATTTAAAGTGTATCAAAGTAAAAATAATAAAGTAAAATAAAATAAAATAATAAATAATTTAATTAATTTGAATAAAAAAAATCCTACTTAGTGCTAGTCTATTACTATAACTCATCAGTAGATTAACTGTTAATCAGCAGGTATTGAACCTATGACTATTAGCCTCATAGTTCCAAATTTATACTACTTTACTAAAGCAGGTATATAATAAAATTTTTATATACACTCCTTAAGAATATCCAAATTTGTTGACAAATAACCAATAAAATTAAAGATTTTCATGTGTTTAAAATTAAGGTTTATTTAATTTAAGGAGAAATTCAAAGTGTATTAACTTTAAATTAATTCAAAAATTAAATTTACTGACTAAAGAAAATGGATAAGAGAAAGTATAGTTATCAGCATAGAAGGAAGAGGTCACCAAATAGAAGTGTTAAGAGGTATTATAATAAAATAAAGAAAAATAAAAATAAAAAATATTTTAAAAATAAAATTTAAACTTTAGAATTGAAAAAGAAAAAAAGAAAAAAAAAAAAAAGAAGAAGTAAGAAGAAGAGATATAGTGATTAGATTTTTGAAGCAAGTGTTAGATAAATTAAAAAAGAGAGAAAAGTAGAGATGTGAAGAGGAGATATTTAGAAAAAGAAAAAAAAATGAAAAGAAAAAGAAAAAGAAAAAGATATGTTATTTATTTTAATAGAGAAGTATAAAGAAGTAGTATAGTTTAGATTAAAAAATAATAGAGAAAGATGTGATATAGTAGATAGTGAAAATAAAAAGTTGAAGAGTAATTTGATAGAGAAGGAGCTTATGAATATAGAGTTGCTCAAGAAGACTGATAAGTTGGAGAGAAATATAATAGAGGGTTTAGAAGAGCAGATAGAGGAAATGCTAATAGATATCGATGAAGAGAAAATAGAATTAGAAAGTAATTTGAAGTTAGCGAGTAGAGAGATTAGAAGATTAGAGCAAGAGAATGAGGAATTAAAGAAAAGATGAGATGAGTAGTTCAGTGAAGAAAATATAGGAAGAGATAAAGAAGAAGATGAGCAAGATAAGAAGATTAGAGAGTTAGAGAAGAAAGTTAAGGAGTATGAAAATTTTTTAGAAGTGAAAGGAGTAGATGTAG